AATTATAGGATAGTAAGAGTAAAGATATCGGTATATTATCCTAGATCTAATAATATAGTAGAAAGGGTAATACAAATACTAAAGGATATACTTTCTAAGTTAATAAATAGCTATATAAAGAATAATAAAACTAGCTAGATATAATAGAGATAGTGTCCTTATTTCTATACTACTCTTATAGTAGACTGTATCACAGTTAATACTACTACTAGGATCAGCCTATACTTCTTTATTTTTAGAATAGATACCGTTATTCTAGTTAAACTTAAAGTTCTAATATAGAGTACACTACCTTAGTAGGAAGTTTAAGACTGATCGGATCTTATTATAATATAGGTTAGGTAGCTAGAGAGGAGAGAGAAAGATATAGAAGAAGCTATTTAATATATAAATTGTCTAAAAGAACAGAACGCTACTTATTTTAATAATATATATTAAGTTAGATAAAGACCGCTAGTAGTAGATAATTTTATTTTACTATATAATACTCTTAAAGTAGGTAATATAACATTAACCTAGAAGCTTTAGTTTCGATAGCTAGGTCTATATTAAGTCTATAAAGTTAAAGGAAATAGATCTTATTCCTTAAAAGAATTAGATAGGACTATTATTAGGTATCTTACTAATATAAGTAGGTCTTTTAATAGAGACCAACTTAAATATTTCTTTATTTATAATAACGATATACCTATTAAGTAACTTCTAAGAAGATATACTATAGAGAGGCTACAGAGAAATATAGATAGTATATAAGATAGAATAATATTTAAAAGGTACTATTTATTAATAATAAAATACTAATTAAAAGAAGAAGGGGGAGAGAAGTTTTAGTTAATATTATTCCTTTAATATATTATACCGCTCCTTTATATATATTACATTTAGTTCTATTCTTAGGGGTTTATTTTTCTATAGAAAAATAAGCTTACTACTTTTATCTAATATTTTTCTTTATTTAATATTCCTTTTTATTATACTACTATTAACTATAGGATAATCGATTTCTTTAAGGGGGGATAAGAGTACTTTTTTTACCTTCTACTTATCTATACTCTTTATTATTAATACTTTATTTTTATTTCTATTTTATAATATATTCTATCTCCTTAGGGGATTAAAGAGAACTAGAAGTATTATCTTAAAAGCTATACCTTTAATATCCTAGAGCCTATAGATAAGATATAGAGTAGAGCTATAATAGTTACCCTATAGGGCCTTTCCTTTAAAGGTAAAACTATTACCTTAATAGAAGAAGTGGTTACTAAATTATAATATTAAGATAGGGGGGAAGTATACTAACTATTAGCTTAGCTACTAGGAATTTTATTAAGAAACTATAATTATATAGAATAGCTCCTCTATAAACTACTATAATTTATTAATAAAGAAAGGCTATAGGAAGGATAGAAGAATTTCGATAAATTTTAGGACTAGTAGAAGAAGGCTATTAATATCTAAGAATATAAGTAGGCCTACTAGGCCTATATTAATAGGGTATAATAGAGGGCTATTATCTAATAGGGTAATCGAAATATATAGGCTCTATTCGGATACCTTATAATAAAAACTATAGCTAAAGAAGTTAGTAAGTTTATTATAGTAAGGATTAGCTACTAAGATCTAAGGCTTACTATTAATAATAAGATTATATAGCGCTAGAGCTATTAGGGAAGGGGTATCTACTCCTACCTAGTTATTACTTAGGGAGATCTTAGATAGGTATTTATTAGGAAGATAGTAATCCCTTTAAAACGTAAGGAACTATAGGATCTAAATATATAGGTTAATAATAATAGGTTTTACTATAAGGCTAGATCTAGAAGAGATCTTCTAGATATAGATAATAAGGTACCTAATAAATTAGAGAGTAAACTTAGTAAGCTCAATAGTTAATAGTTTTCTAATTATAAACGCGAAGATAAAGATAAGGGTACTAGGGATAATAAGGTTACCAAAAACGAAGATAGTAATATAGAGGACCCTTTACTTCTTTATTAGAATAATACTACTATTACTATAACTAGAACCTAGATAAGAAGAGCTAGACTATATACCTACTATATATAAGAGAACCTAAAGACAACTATTAATAGTATCCTAAATAAACTATAGGGAAAGTTAGAAAGGGAAGTATTAGTAGTACTAAGACTTATTAGTAGATATATATATAATAATTTTAGCCTAGATACTATTTACTAGAACTATACTATAAAGCTCGTAGAAATACTATATATATATAGTAATATAAAAAGCTATAGGGATCTTATAAGGTAACTTAGCTATACCTATAGTTACCTTAAAGATTAGGATAACCTCCGAAGGGACTATATAGAATAGTTCTATAAAGTAAAAGTAGATAAGACCCTAACTATCTACTAAAATAACGTAGTACCTAATATTCCCCTTATCGTATCTTTTAATAATATACCCTAGCTATCATTTATAAGTCTTTATAAAAGGATTATACCTAGATATTAATTTAACCCCTATATCCTCTACTAGAGTATAGTTAAAGATAGTAGTATAGTACTACTATAGCTTTTCGGCTAGCTAAAAGAGAATTTTAATAGTATATACCCTAGTAGGATCCTACTACTAATTTATAATAAATTTAATATATATAAGTACTATTATACTACCTACTATAGTAGACCTTACCTTAGGTAGTTATAGAATATATAGTATAGCTTAATATAGTAAGTGGTTAGATAAGACCCTACCTACTATACCTATTATATATTTTTCTAATTAGATTATATATAGAAACTAGTCTTATTTCCCTACTATATTAAGAGTACAATATCTAGGGAAAGGATATACTTCTAATATATTAATATAAATATAAAGGACTAGATCGAAATAGGAAGAGCTAGATCTATCCTCTAAGGATTAGTTTCACTAGATAATAAAGACTATAGAAACTATACCACAATTTTACCTAGTATATAGTACCATCTTACTACTTAATAGACTAATCTTTAGTAGTAGGCTGCCGCAGACCCTATTAGCGAAAAGGTTACTAATAGATTTATTTATTAGATTAACCCCTTAATATAGATAGTAGTAGATATTAGGAAGTACTAGATAGACTAGGTTAATTAAGTCTACTAAGTAGGGGATATATAACTATCCTTACCTACTCTTCTATATAGATTAATAGGGCTAGTAACTATATAGAGATAGACTATTTTACTATAGTTTATATAAATCTAGGATAATTATTCGATATTAGATACTCCTAAATCTAGTTCCTAGGAAGACTTATCTATTACCTATAGGGAGCTAATAAATACTAAGAGGATACCCTCTAGTCTTACTAGCTAGTAGTATAGCTATATTCCCTTCCCTTTCCTAGCTACTATTTACTTCTATACTTAGTCTACTATCTTATAAGGATTGATAGTATAGACTAAGTAGAGCTCTCTAGTAGTAATCTTAGAATTTAATATACTATTCGGAGAAAACGAAACAGCCGCTATAGTATATATCTAGGACTAGAGGGTAAGGGTATAGCAGGAATATATAAGGTTATTTAATATAATGTAAGAGATAGAAGAGAAGGTTTTTAGGATAAATTCTTTCTTTCAGAGACATCGTCTAGGTCTTCTACCCAAAGCAGGCGGCTATAATAATAATATAGATACTAAGTTTAAGGTTATTAATAAAGCGATACATTGACTAGGGGATAGTTAATTTCTTAGGGGGGGGTGGTATATAGTAGGGAAAGTCGGGATACCTAGTTTAGTGGCCTTATCCCTTAGGCAGAGAAAACGAAAGCCTGGTTATCAAGTAGAGTCTCGGGGAGTAGATAGTCTAGAAGGAGTATCACCCCTAAAATGAAAAACGAGTTGCGAGATATTTGTGCGCTAGGAGATTATATACTATGGTATAGTCTACGTGATCCCTATGCTTACTAGCTGATCGTCCTGGATGGTTGGTGTTGTTGTGTCGTCCTCGTCTTGCCTGCATGGCCAGGCTGCCCATCGTGCATTTCCCTCTTCATCATATATTTCAGGTAGATAAGCATAAGAACTCATGACTATGTGATTCAGATTATCATTATGCAACAAGAAGCTCAATCAAATGAAGCTCGCTGGGGCAATCCTTTGCTAGGACAGCTAGCAGGCGATCTCGCCGCGGCAGCAGCCTCGGCGTCCTTAGTGACACCCGCGGTCGCAATTATTGATAGGTTCGTCTCGATGTTTCCAAGCGCGATGATTTCGCGCTAATACATACCCTCAGAGCGCTTGTCGAGCAAGCTGCCTTCAAACAACCCATTCTCCGCGGACTTCATCGGCATGCGCTCGCGGCCCTCCGACGGCCGGGTCTGTTTGTTTTCCAACGGCCATTCGGTATTGTCTGGGCCCTCTATGCGGCAACCTATTCCGTCGCAAATGTGACCGACACAATCAGTCACAAGCTTGAGATAAGCGCCGCGGGGACGATCACATTTGCCACGACGATGATGGCCAACGTGCCGCTAGCGCTGTGGAAGGACATCCGATTTGCGCAGGAATACGGAACCGGCAGGGGTCCCGATGCCAAGACATTGACAACAAACACTCCAATCTCTGTACTCCAGAACAAATCTTTGGCACGAACTGCAGTTGCTATCTTCCTCGCACGAGACGGTGTGACTATCTTTGGGTCATTTACTTTGGCCCCGTGGTTGTCGGATGCCATCCCCGACCGCTTGATGACTCATCCCAACGCAAAGCCGATCATCACCCAGTTGACCGTGCCCGTCTTAACTCAGCTGGTTGCTACTCCGTTACATTTATTGGCATTAGATATGTACACACGGCAATATACTATGCCCTTCCTAAAAAGGGTGAAGCACTCGCAGCGATATCTTCCCTCGTCAACTTTGTTGCGTTGTGTCCGTATCATTCCTGCGTTTGGAATTGGGTGCTTGACGAATATAGAGTTGCGATCTGCTCTTCATGCCAAAGTCTCAGGTTGAATTAATTATTTATCTCATTATCAGTCCATGTCCTACATGAATGGCTGGGGCATTCTACCTGCGTGGCGTTCAGCCCACCTTTCTCGGTATCACTGACATGCGCCAGAATCTCCGTCTGGTAGGGCGTCTCTCGTGCAATTTGCACAGTATCGAAGACAGACTTCGACTGAACAAAAATATCATCGATCTCCTCGAGTGTACGGCCCTTAGTCTCAGGACAGAACAAGTAGAAGAACACACAAGCAAAGGCGCTAATACATGCGTAGACAATGTAATACCGCCAGTGGATAGTAGCGAACCCGACTGGGCTCACCTCTGCCAATACGAAGTTGAAGAGCCAGTTTGCTGCAGCAGCCATAGCAGTAACTTGAGCACGAGTTTTTAGCGGTGCGATCTCTGCGGCGTACATGAATGGGACAAGGAAAAGCCCAATGGGGAAGCAGAAAAGCGCTACGAAGTAGAACAAGAGTGAGGCGCCAGCCATGGATGTGTTTTTAAGATCACTTGATATCCCAGCCAAACAGGCCTGGGCAATGGTCATACCGGCAGTCGCAGCAATGAGCAATGGACGACGTCCGACGCGATCGATGAGTAGAACGGCCACGCCTGTAGCCAAAAATTGCCAGATTTGCAGACACCCAGTGATAATTCCTGAGAGTGTACCTGAGTATCCCAGGTCGCACTGGAAGATAATATCAGAATAAAAAGTGATGATGTTGACACCGGTCATCTGCGCTAGAATATTTACACCAACAGCGATAACTGCACGGTGCAGGTGGCGGTTCTTCGTGAGCGCGAATGGCGAAGAGGAGCCTGCTGATTCGGCGTTCTCGTCAATTTCAAGTGACTGTCGGATATTTTCCAGCTCCTGTAAGACATACTCAGAGTCGACAGGCACATTTCCCATGCGGGCTAAAACTTCAGATGCCTCCTCGAGGCGTCCAACACGTGCGAGCCACCGAGGAGACTCGGGTAGCAGCATGATACACCCCACAACAACGAGACCAAAGAAGCCTTGAGATGCGATGGGCAAACGCCAGCTGACCGAGCTGTCACTGACATAGGAGAGTCCGAATCCCAACCATGCTGCGAAAACAACGCCGCCAATTGCAAACCATCCCTCCAGTAGCACCATTCGTCCACGTTCCTCTGCTCCAGATGACTCGGAGACGTACATTGGGATTGTAGCGGTAAAGCCACCGACACCAAGACCTGTTCAGTTACTGGTTAACTTATTGCAATTTGTTCAATGATAGGGGCTTTACCAGTAATGACTCTGCCAGCAATAAGTTGACCGAGTGAGAAAGAACTTGCTTGGATAGCTATACCAACGAAGGCTATGCAACCGGCAAGAAAGATGGTCTTGCGACGACCGAGTCTGTCACCTAGAAAGGCGCAGGAACCTGCCCCTATTGCGCATCCAACTTCATATATAGCGACCGTTGTGCCTTTTAATGGTCAACATTGCTCTCCTTAACATCTGTCAGCCGATTCATCCGAGTAGATACCTTGGATTTTAGAATTGTGAGATTTCTCACTACCAGTAGTTTGAACGGTATCGACTTGAGGGAATACGGCGATGAAAGAGCCCAGTATCAACAGACCATTGGCAATTGCCTGATCATAGCCCTGCAGTATGAATCCGACAGCCCCAATAAGACTGATTGCGAGGCTCAATGACTTGCCTTTGAGCTTAGGGGCCATAGCGTCCACTCTAAAGTCTCTTGTCGGATGAGTTCCAAATCTTCAGCTCACGATTCCAACACAGGGGAGAACACTAAAAATGAAAAATTACGTTACTCCATACAACGCCCCACTTAGTAGATCCTGAAGCGGAGGGTCCCAGACTAAAGGAGACGGACTACCTGGGGCTTCCAGAAGAAAGACAAATCTGCCAAGCTTCGGACCTTCACTGAATGAGCCAATCAGCTTCGCAGATTTGACGGTAAGTGGAGCTCAAGTTTCTTCAAGTTTGGTGAAGTACAGCGCTAAGAAGTGGCTGGCCAATCAAGTTCCGAACTATCAGCATCCGTGGCCCCGGCCTCCGTAGTTTCTCCGCATTCTCATTCCATTTATTATTGCCTATAGTCAATATTTCATGTTGATCTTCCCTCGTTCCCTATTAATACCTCAAATCCACTTCTCCCCTAGTTCGTAGGCTGTATGCCATAATTTAGGACCTTCGTGTCCAGACCAGAGGGCTATGAGCCTGAAACGTTAGGTAGCAGTGAGCTACTAGCACCTGTCATGTTCATCATCAATCACATGACTTTTGTCACGATCTGCATGATTGTCCATCACGTGACTCTATAGATCGTTGACACCTTCGTTCCTTCCTCTTTGGTGTTTGCCTCTTTCCTTTGTTCTTTCCTTTTTAGGGTTGTCGACAACCTTATTTAAGCGAGACATTCGAGTTTTGCATCGTTTGCAGGAAAGCCAGGTATATAAACAGGCTGATTCCCACTTCGGAACTTACTTCTTCTTTCTCTCTTCATCATTTTGAATCAACCACATCACAGAGCAACCCCTCCAACATGTTATCGTGTCCATCACATGACTTGTCTGCTCTTACTGTCTCTTTTTCATCTACTTGCATTCATCCTTCATGCAACCACCGCATCACAGGCATCCCTTCATGGCACCTGTCATGTTCATCATCCATCAATGACTTGTATGTTCTTGCTGTCTCTTTTTTTTCATATACTTACATTCATCCTTCAGACATCCCAACCACATTCTCCTTCCATCTTCCGTCTTCCACTTTATGAGGTTCGTTTCTTCTTGTCTGTGTTGTGACCTATTCTTCATCTTCCCTCATCATGTTCTATGACTTGGTTAACACCTGATGACATGACGCTGACTGTACTAGATATGTATGCTCAACCACATCTGCTCAACCACATCCAGCCTTGCCGTGAAAGGTTTCGGCTTCAGGACTGGCAGCATGCTTGCAACAACAGCAAACACAAAAACAGAAACAGAAGAGAAACCCCCCCTCGAACGATTTCAATCATCCACTTCAACCATCCACTTCAACCAACCATCAAACAGCCTTGCACATTCAATCAACTATCCACATCAAAGTATCCACTTCCGTCAATCTTCAACCAACAATCTACATTCGACTACTACAATGCTTCGACCTGAAAGAGGAGGAATGAAAAGAAACGGTCTTGATCGACTGAGTCTCCGCAGGAGTGTCTCTGAAGGAGACTTCTCGTCGGGAAGAGGTTACAGCGTGTACCCAATTAAAGGAGACTCTCAAGACCGTTTGCTGTGGTGGTAAAAAAAAAAGGTCGCCTCGACAAGCAAGTATCAATATTCAAGCATCGACATCCAAGCATCGACATCAAAGAACCACATCCACATTCTACTCATCCACTGTCTACTCATCCACTTCAATCATCCACTAATCAACCACTTCAATCCACTTTAATCAACCTTCAATCAACAAAATTCAGATTCAATCACCCATGATGCTTCGACCTGAAAGAGGAGGAATGAAAAGAAACGGTCTTGAACGACAGAGTCTCCGCAGGAGTGTCTCTGAAGGAGACTTCTCGTCGGGAAGAGGTTACAGCGTGTACCCAATTAAAGGAGACTCTCAAGACTGTTTGCTGTGGTGGTAAAAAAGAATGGTCGCCTCGACAAGCAAGCATCAATATTCAAGCATCGACATCCAAGCTCAACCGCATTCAACAACCATATCCAAGCTACACTTCAATCAATCTTCACTCAACTATCCATATTCAAGCATCCACTCCAAGCAACCATATCAAGCAACCACTTCAAGGCAACCACTTCAATCAATCCAAGCATCCACATTCAAGCATCCACGTCAATCAACCTCAAACAACCATCCACTTCAAGCAACCACATCAAACAACCACTTCAAGCAACCACGTCAATCAACCTCAAACAACCATCCACTTCAGTATCCACTTCAATCATCCACATTTAAGCATTTCTATCAAGCAACCACGTCAATCAACCTCAAACAACCATCCACTTCAAGCATCCATATCAAGCATCCACTTCAATCAACCACGTCAATCACCTCAAACAACCATCTACTTCAAGCAACCACATCAAACAACCACTTCAAGCAACCACGTCAATCAACCTCAAACAACCATCTACTTCAAGCAACCACATCAAACAACCACTTCAAGCAACCACGTCAATCAACCTCAAACAACCATCCACTTCAGTATCCACTTCAATCATCCACATTTAAGCATTTCTATCAAGCAACCACGTCAATCACCTCAAACAACCATCTACTTCAAGCAACCACATCAAACAACCACTTCAAGCAACCACGTCAATCAACCTCAAACAACCATCTACTTCAATCATCCACATTCAAGCAACCACTTCAAGCAACCACGTCAAGCAACCTCAATCAACCATCCACTTCAAGCATCGACATTCAAACAACCATATCCAAAAAGAAACGGTCTCAAACTACAGAGTCTCCGCAGGCTCTAAAATAGACTTCTCTTCGGGAAGAAGTTACATCGTATACCCAATTAGAGGAGACTCTCAAGACTGTCTACTGTTTTGGTAAAAAAACACTATCGCCTCGACAAGCAAGCATCGACATTCGAACTTCCACTTCAAGCTTCCACATTCGAGCTTCCACATCGAGCTTCCACGTCGAGCTTCCACTTTCGAGCTTCCACTTTCGAGCTTCCACTTTCGAGCTTCCACATTACTCGACTATCCATTTGACCACCCACAATGCGTTTCCTTTTAAGAGGAGGAATAGATAGACTCAAACAACAAGTGTCTCTGCAGCAGATTCTCTCTATCATTACAATAGCCTTGCTCCATTCGTAACATTCCTTGTAGCAGCCTATTTTGTAGCATACATACATAGTCGTTTCTATAGAGGCGTAAACCATAGCTAAAAATTAAACTCAGGTAAATCAGTAAATGAATCAATTGAAAACAACTCAATGCAAGATCTTACGTTAAGCCTCATTCACATAGTGGTCAGGTGACCACCCGGATAGGCCCCCTTAAATAGTAACTCTCTCCCTCTTCGCACCCAGCACTACAACGTAGTCTCAACATAAACACCTTGTACTTTATACACGTATACGGAAAACCCACGGTTTTACCCCAGAGAGTCACACACAATCATGGCCGTCCCGTCTGACTTATACCATATCGCATAACTGACGAGGTTTGGTGGCTTAGCGCTTAACACTGTGTCTGAGCTCTCTGACCGCATGCAGATCTTTACCTAAACTTATCTCTATACACATCAAATTCGAGAAACTCAAGATATAAGCCAGTGCAATACATTGATCATAAACTCATATACTATCGGATACGCTATGAAGATGGCGAAAGAGAAAACGTCAACTTGGCTCTGCGGAAAACCTCCGCCTTCAACGCCCGATACTCATTATCTGTCCGCAGAACAGCATCACGATTCTCAATTGCTCGACGCAGAAGATAAGCCAGACATTCACCCATACCTCCCCAAGTCGAGCATTTATAAACCTCCGGTGTCCCATCGCCGTCATTCATCTGGAGCAGCGAGAAGCTAACTTCATCCGACATACCATGGAGTTGGGCGAAGCGCACAGGCACGGTGGGCAAGCCCGATGTGACACGATGCTTATAGAGTTTCTGGGCAGCGACCACGCTCTCCTTGTTATGACTTGCCAGGAAGAGATTTACTGAGGGGAATTCGCGGCTGCCCTTGTCTCCAAATTCCCCAATGTTCTTTCTCAGCGCCCCCTGAGCAATCATATTATAAGCGTTGTCGGTGTCTTCTTTCGTGTCGTGGATCAGGGACCGTTCATCAGTGGCCATGTATGCGCCCCTCACGAGCTTGAGGCCGAGAGTGAATCCATCTTCGCTTGCCACGGTTAGATGGTTGGCCAGTGTCGCTGGTGTGCTTTTGAGGTAGGCTTGATAGGTACTGTAGATGGTTGCATAACCGTCGCGGTTGTATTTGCGCATAAGTTCCACAGCGACCCGTGCAATGCCCTTTTGGAAATGCTGAGACTCGGCATCGACGAGGATGCGAACCTTTCGGTCTTTGGCCTTGGTGCAGATCTCATCCAGTGCATCCATCATTTGCTGCGGAGGCAAATCTCCAGCAGCGAAGGCCTCGGTGGCTTTGATGCCAGCACCTGTCAATCTTGTAAATGGTCAGTCGGTACTCCATGAATGGGTGGTGTGAGAGTAACTTACTTGACTGCGAGGTAATCTTCTGCCTCTGACATGTCGATGGTCTCGACTGTTCCTTTCCGCCAAGCTTCGATGCTGGGACATTGGGAGACCGGAGCATTACTTGACACGTTCCCATCCTCGCTTTTCAAAGCAGCAACGCCCTGTCCGTGCTGAGCCTGAGTACTATGATCAAACACAGTCTCAGCAGCGTATGTCAAAATCACACCGCGGAAGCCCATATCTTTCATTTCCCGGATGGTAGATCTGCATTCTGCCTCATTCTCTCCGGCACAGAATTGGTTGTAGAACGTTTTCTTTAAAATGCCATGCAGGATCGGATTCCGATCCACATCAAAGAGCCAGATTCTGTTGGGTTTGGAGAGGAAGGACATAAAGGAAAGCGCGGGTATGAGGAGGAATCTCTTCGACGATATCGTAGAGACCAGCAGAGATCTGAGCAAGACGTGCGCGGGTAAGATAGAGAGAGGCGGTAGTGGGGGGCTTGGACCAGT